CACTTCTAAGACTTTGACCACATCCGATAGAACATTTAACACCTAACAAACCAATTATATAAACAATATCACATATACACACAAGTTTGAATGCTAAACTAAGAACACACTAAGGCAAAAGCACACTTTTGGTAATAAAAATAACTCATCAAATGTCTATTAACCATATTAACTTTAAATAAGTAAACAAAACCCTTTCGCTTCAAAATCTATAGACATATGTACACAAATATTTATAACGATTTTCATAAAATAATATCATAGTCGCATGTTCATCTATTCATCGAATATTCAAGCTCCTCATCTAAACTCATAGTCTTTATTAAACTAATTAAATATTGATTTGAGCACACCTTTAATGGTAAAACACCCAGCCAAAGGTATTTTATCTCATTTTCAGACTATAGATTTTCCTTTTCACATGCACATATAATAGGGGTATCGTTAACTCCTAATCACACCGTTTCGGGCACTAAGGAATTACTAGACTGCCCAAACGTCCTATGGTAATAATCCCCAATATAATGCTACGTTAGATGTCCTATGGTGCCAGCTTGACCATATGAATTTTGACATACACATCTCTACAAATTTAGGTTGAACCCCATCCTCTAATATGATTAGCCTTTTTTACACGCAAATAATCACATCTACACATATAAGTACAATGAATTATCTTTTAAAAACATATAAATTCATAATTAAATCCTTCTTATGCTAAAACTCTTTTAAAACATGCAACTCCAAGCATAACAACAATTTCAATCATAAATCACACTAACATTCACTTATAAATAGTTAAACTAATTAATAGGCATAGTAAATTATCCAGTTATCTTAACCCTTCTGTACTTAGAAAGGTTACTCATGACATTATTGTCCTTATCGAATTTCTTTTGCCTAGTCAATGTACAAATTCACAATAATCTACACCAATCTACATAAATTAACACTATTAGTCAATTACCAATTTGACCAAAAGTACTAATTGTTACAATTAATCACTCAAACACTCTCATTTACCTATCTTTGGTTCTTATTATCATACTAAATCCTCTTATTACTTCTACCAACACCAACACAATTCTTAATCAACTTCCGCCCTTTTCAACCTATTTAATTAGGCTAAATTAGACTATTTCTCAAAGTTTAGCCACTAACTTCCAAACCAGTCACAAAACCTTAATTTAATTCCAAATAGTCTTTTTATTAAAGGGTAAGAAAACAACCCCTTAAAACTGCCTGATTCAATTTTTCTATAACTCAAACTAAGAGAAATTAGTGTAGAATAGGAAGTTAGGGTGGTATAAAACTTACCCAGCAAGCGATAGGTTTGAAATATCTCTCAGTGGCCCAATATTCTTTATCTTAGCAGAGCACACATTCTTCTCCTCTCTACCATGCTTCTTTCCTCTTTTTCCACTCTATTCTATGAGTTGAGACACGTTTGACTTAAGCAATTTGTGTGCCATGTAACATCCTGATTTTCCAATCCTAAGATTAGCTATTAATCAGGGTAAAATGGTAATTAGTAAATGATTAGAGATTTGGAGATTAGTTGATGATTTTGTCTTTAGGAAGATAAATGAGCCAATACGGGTGGAAGAACCGTGTCCTGAAGTGAAGCATGTGCTTATGGTGAGAATTTTGCTTGCAATGCCACGCGTCGCAGGTAATGCTACTTGCACTGGCACATGGACCAAAAAGTGACTTCTTCAATCGTGAATTAGGGTGAGTTTCAGAAGGGAAAAATTAGAGAAACACATAAAAGAGAAGAGAAGGAAGGCTTGGTGGCTAGGGCAAGCATTTTTTGGGTATTGAAAGACACTTTCAATCAGTAACTTGTCGGGTAAGCTTTGTATAACCCTTACCTCTGATTCTACTATAATTTCTCTTAGAATGAGTTATATAAAAATCATATCGGTGAAATTTAAAGGGTTTATTTCTTACCCAATAGTAATAAAAAGGTTTTCAGGAGTTAAATTAGAGCTTTGTGGCTGGTTTAAAGTTGAACAATAGAGCTTTAAATTCATACGCTCAATTTGGCCCTAATTCAAAGGAAAATTAGGGTGAAAATCATGTTAAAGTGAAATAAGATCATTTAAAGTGATATAAAGTGGTAATTGAGTGGTAATGAACCTAAAATGGTTAAGTAGAAAGGAATGGATGGCTAGTTATAGCCATAGTTGATAATTAAGTATTCTTAATCAATTGAACTAATTGACTAATTGTGCCAATTATATATAGATTGGTATAATCTTGGCATAGAGTGAGAAAGAACTTGGTAGAGATGAGTTGTGATTAAGAGAGTGCCATGGGTAACCTTTCTAGTGACAGAAGGGTTGAGGTAACTGAATAACTTTCTCTATTTGACTATTTATTATGACTATGTGAAAGTATGCTATTTAGTGCATGAAAATGTTTTAAGCTAAGCATATTTTATGACATTATGTGAATGTTATATGAAAATTGCTTTTGATAAAATAGACAAGTAAAAACATGTGATTTCATACTTTATATGTATATATATGCTATGTATTGTGGATACATGTATGGTGGTGAATGGGAACCAGTGACTGGTTTAAAAAACATGATCATAGGAGTGAGAGTTCACCTGTAATGTAAAGTGTAGAGAAAGACCATATAACAGTATTCTCCTTATTGCCCAACAGGGTGCAATGTTGGAGAATTTATCTCCTTAGTGCTTTTTGAGGTGCAGTGTTAGAGATTATCTCCTTAGTATCTATTGAGGTATGGTGTTGAAGATTGGGACTCTTTAGTATCAATGTGATGTAGTGTTAGAGTCAACGACATCCCATTGTATGTATTGGGGGAAAACATAGTATGGAAGTGAGATAGAACACCTTTAGCCAACTGATTCAATTACTGAAGGTGAGCTCAGGACCAATGAAAGTGTATATTGGTCTAAGGTGAGCCTATGGTTTTAAGTTGGGGTGATTTAAAGGTTTCATTGGTAGTGATCTTGCTATATGCTAGAAAAGTGGTGCAAAATGGTGAATTTCGTAGTGAAAGAAGTGAATGATATGTTTGTATAATTTGAAATGAAGCATGTTATATGCTATAATTATTGGTATGTTATGTTATACTTTTGTATAATTGCATGTGATAGTCAATAGTAGAGAATTATTCTGTTACTGAGATTATTATCTCACTCCAATAGTTACATTTTTACAGGTCAGAGTAGTGAGCCGGCTAACAAAAAAGAGTCTAGACCAACATAATGGTTCTGTTATTGTGGAAATTTTTTAGTTTGTGTAATGAACTGAATCTTTAATGGATACTGTGTAAATAAGTTGTCATAGGACTTACATGCATGTTATGAATGTTTAAAGCCTTGAATATTATGAATTTTGGTGAATTTTAGCCCATGTGTGAAAATATGTAGTGAAATGAATTGTATAGGTTAAGATTTAATGGTAAACTTGTTGTGAATATGTAAAAGAGTGATTTTGTGATGATTTTGTGGTGAAAAAGGCCAAGTGGGCCAAATTATGCAAAATTGTGAAAAGTTGTGTTTTATGAAAATGGGCCGTTGAGCGGCCAAATTTTGATATGTGTACATATAAGTGTTATATTGTGGTTAGTCAGGTGTATTAGGTCTTTTTAGATTTGGTTCAAGGTCTAGTATGGTCTAATGAGATAATAGAATTGATTTAAGTGCTTGAGTATGCAAAGTTAACCCTTCCTAGTATGGTCTAGTATTGTTGAATTGATTACATGCCATGCGCCGTGTATATGCTATTGTATGTGGCACAGTGAGGAAAATCTCACTGCACTTGCACGCTTCACTTCGAATCATCACTCTTGTGTCCCATCTTGTCTGTTCAATTCAACAATTTCAAAAGTCAAAAGCTTAAATTTCCATCAAAAATCTTGATTATCTAATTAATTAATTAAATTACTAATTTATCCTTTAATTAGTAATTAGTCTCTCATGCTAAATTTTATGATGTTACATTTTTCATGTAATTCTAGGGATTGATAGGGGCATGCTCTTTGTGTGTTTAATTCACATGTAATTTGCTAGAGATTACATGTAAATTATTCCTTAGATATGCTCACGAATTTTTTTTTATATGGATTTACATGTAATTCATAGTTATTTTCATGCAATTCTAAAAGATTGATAGGGGTGTGCTTTCTGTGTGTTTGATTTACATGTAATCTGTTAGAGATTGCATATAAATTATTCTTTAGGCATACTCGTGAATTTTTTCTCATATTGATTTACATGTAATTAGTTGTAATTTTCATGTCATTATAGGGTCATTAACAGTGGGTACTATCTGTGTATTTGATTTACATATAATTCATAAGATATTACATGTAATTGTTGAAGCCAGAACACATGCATCCTAAGTCAGATCTCTTGCACCTTAAGCTAGATCTCTTATACCAAGTTAGAAGCTTTACATCCTAAGTCAAAAGTCGTATACCCCAAGCTTGACCCCCTACACCCAAGCTAGACCCCCTTGCACCCAAGCCAGATGCCTTGTAGCTTAAGCTAGAAGCCTTATATCCAAATCATAACTTTTGTACCTCAAACCATAAGCCTTGCACTCCTCACACCCTAATTCAAAATCCTCACACCCTTTAGTTGTTAAGTTTGCATATAATTCTTGATGATTACATGTAATCAAGGGTTGTTAATTTTTTCTGATGACACTTTCTGAAAATCCATCACCTGCCAATTGGAGCTTCAGTAGGTGTATTGTCACTTGTTGAAGCTTTGGTGATAGAATTTTGTGCCTTTTGAAAAAAATTAATTAACAAAAAAGGATATTATGATCATTTATTTAAATTATTTAATGAATAAAATATTACTTTAGCTTTTCAAGTATATTGGTTCTTAAGACTAATTTTGGATTTAACTAAGTCCATTTCACCGATTTTTCCTTTTATTTTGCTTTAATGAAATTGATCTTTAAAAAAAAAAAGGAAAAGAAAACTTTCATCCAATTTACCTTTTAAATATTTATTTTGAAGATACTTGAGGTGCGCACTACACACCAGGCACGCGGAATAGTAGAAAAGTTTTGGTTTGTCTATTATCAGAAATCCAACTCTTCCTGGTTCACCTACGCGTCTGAGTTTGGTTGCAAGTTTTCAGGTAATTAAACCCCAAATTCCGCTCATCTTTGTTTCATTGACTATTCTAATTATCGTCAACGATTGTGGGGTTTCTGCGAATAATCATAGTTTCTGTTCGATCACTATGAAATTGAGTTTCCGCTGCCAAATCATGCAAAATCGCAACTGCTTTTTTCTTAATCGGTGTTTTTAAATCTTGAATTTTAACGTCTGCGATGCGTTCAGTGAGGTTGTGGTAGATTTTTGAAAGCTTAGTTGAGCGCGAAGAATTTGCAATGAAACGGGAAGTACAGCTAGAACCGCCAGTTGCGCAAAACCTTGGTGATTCCGACCCTCTACTCGATAATCAGGAGAAGGAGGAGGAGGAAGAGCGGAAGGATGAGGAGTGTCAAGGAAGCACGAGTGAGATTAGGAGTGAAGATGTCGAGGCTGGCTTACTTCCTTCTTGTCGAATTTGCCTGGAAAGCGATTCCGACCCAGGTGAAAAATGGTTTGCGGAACTTTTTGTTGTGTTGAAATTGGTGAGATTTTGATCTTCATTCAACTGCATCATGTTATTTCATTCAATGAAAGAGTTACTCCTCCAAAGAACTCAGGGTTGTAAATGTTTGTCTTGTTATACCTTGAAAATTTGCGTCAACTTATGATTTACTCCGTTAAATGGTCGAATCAATTTGCAGAATTCAATATAGCTATTAGTATCAGAAAGTAGCATCTTCAAAATTTTAACCAGCACATGGTCCCTGTTTCAAATTGGAATATTTTGATGTTATTTATGGTTATTTTAAACCTATTTTTGGATTTCTTTATCTGATGGTTGAAATGGGATTCCTCCTTGCTAAATATGGCTGCTCTTGCTGTACAGCAGTGTTGAACAATTTCTCAAGTGACAAAATACGGCTTCTAATATTATCATTGAAAATATTACTTGACTTCGGAAGAGAAAAATTTGCATATATTACTTTTTCAGAAGGAAGAGTATCTGCTGCATTAAGATAAATATGGTAAAAGAATTAAAGATAATTATGTTCCCGATTGTTGGCCCACTGAATCCTTCAATATGGTTCATCATCTATTCAGCTGTGATGTCAATGAACAAGAGTATATAAGTAAGAGTGGGCAACTGCATCCCTCAACCTAAATAGTTGTCATTTAATTTCTTTAGGTGATGAATTGATATCACCATGCATGTGTAAGGGGACCCAACAATTTGTCCATCGTTCGTGTCTTGATCACTGGCGTTCAGTAAAGGTGAATATCATGAATTACAATCGTGATGCATAATTTCAAATGCTAGCTTTTAGCTGGTTGACATTGAAGGTTAATTTGTTGAACCTATTCTATTTGGTCTATAGGAAGGGTTTGCCTTCTCACACTGCACCACCTGCAAAGCCCAATTTCATCTTCGAATTGAATTGTTTGAGGACAACTCCTGGCGTAAAATAAAGTTCAGACTTTTTGTGGCAAGGGATGTTTTTCTTGTATTTTTGGCTGTACAAACTGTGAGTATTCTTCGTCTACCGTTTCTCTAAGCAGAAGTTTCAATGATATATTCTTTTTTTTGAATTCCATGAATTCAGTTTCGGTTGATATAATTATTTGTATCAGTTAGATATGCTATTATCCAGAAATGTTATCTGTTAGATATGCTATTCTTTATCAAATGAGACAATGTAGCACGTGGTACTGCTAAATAAGAATCTTGTCTAATACTATTGTCCAGATGAGTTTATCTTCCAAAATCAATTAGGACAAAAAAAAAAAAATTTTGAAAAAACCACGGAAGTCTCTTATGTAGAGTTATCTATTTGTTTGCTAGGTGATTGCGGCAATGGGTGCGTTTGCATACCTCATGGACAAAGATGGGGCATTCAGGAACTCTTTCGATGATGGTTGGGATCGGATACTGTCAAATCATCCTATACCATTTTATTACACTATTGGTAAGCTATCATTGTGTTATGACTTATTTGCTTTTTTGTAGACGTTGAAAATCCTCGGGTTCAGGGAAATCTGTCTTCTTGCTTGTTCTGATCCATTTTTTATATTCTCTATCTTCAGATTGTCCCCTGTAAATTCCAAAGAAATAGCACAATATTATACTAAAATTATTGCCCTATTGTTGCCACTGGGGGAGGGTTTATTTTAAAAAACCTGATATTTGTTGCTACTGTCCACCTTGGAACATCTTGAAGTTGTAGGTGTTATTCCATCCTTAGCAGTAGTAAATGACAACCGTGGAACATTTTATCTTTTGCTTTCTGTTCATCTGCCTCTCTGTTGCACAAAAGTACAGATTTCTGATGGATGACAACGAATGTTTCCATTTATCAGGAGTACTAGCCTTCTTTGTGCTGCTTGGGTTTTTTGGTCTCATTCTACATTTTTCCTCCCTCAATGCCAATGACTCCAGAATGGCTGGGTGTCAGAACTGTTGTTATGGATGGGGCATTTTGGATTGCTTTCCCGCATCAATGGAAGCATGCTTTGCCCTTGTGGTTGTTTTTGTCGTCATCTTTGCAATTTTGGGCATAGCTTATAGTTTTCTCGCAGCCACCATGGCGATTCAGAGAATTTGGCAGAGACATTACCACATACTGACCAAGAGGGAGCTGACTAAGGTATTCTAACAATGCCATTTAAATATCCCTTGGTTCTTACATCTGGTCTTAATTTATACAAAGTTTGCACTCGGATTACCGTTTCACATCACTTAACTGGCTATAATATATCTCCAGGAATACGTAGTGGAGGATCTCCGAGGTTCTTATTCCCCGCCAAAACTGGACCCAGAACATGAAGAGCGCTTGAAAATGCTCAAGCTTTTGTGATTAATTAAACAGAGACTTGTAAAATGTGTTAAAGAATGTTTATGCCAAGATTTTATTTTAATTGTAGTTAGAACCTATCATGTTCAGCAGACTTCTACTCTGTGACTCTGAGCATGCAAGTGGATTGTATGATCGTTTTTACCTGGTTCCTCGCCAGATTCTATACCTCACCAAAATTGACTCTACAATGTGTGCACTTACTTGCTCAGTTTCAAACTCTTTCCTTTCGTAAATAAAAAATTGAAGAATTAAACGGGTGTTTTTCTTGCAGTGCACGTCTTAATCAGGTTGTAGACTATTTAAATTCAAGCATGTCTGACTCATTGGGAATCCCCCCCTTCATTATTGTTCAGCTCAGGAAGAGATTCAAATTGTGCTTTTATTTTCCTTTTCTTTAATCCCAAACAGATTGTGCGTTTCTCATTCACTTCAAGAAGTCCCGCATGAGATTAGACCAATGCGATGGTACTGTTTGAAACTGGCAATATTTTAATGAAAAGCAAACGTAGGACAAGGAAAGGGGTATACAGACAACCAAGGTATTATTTCTTCGATTTTCTTTTTGAAATAAGATCACAATATATTAAGATAAACGATAACAAATAGAGCCTAAGTTACATTAGTACAGTGAGACTTGAAAAACAAACATTTTATTAACAAAGTGAGACTATCACCAATAATTTCTTTTCTTTTTTATTGCTCATGAATATACTCTTATAAAAAATAATTTTATTTAAGACATAATCAAGTATTTAATGCAGGTACTTTTCTCAACAAGGAATCAAACATTAGTTTACTAGACTGCAGAAGACTAGTCTCATCCGTAGACCTAACCTCTGTTTGGTCATCACAAATAATACCTATCAAACCTGTAAATCATCCATTTATATTTTTGGGCAGCTGGATTGACGTGTGATACCAGCAGCAGAGACAAAAACAAGATGATCACCATCTCTAATAACCTCAATATCATCAATGTGAGCCCCATCTTTGCTCAAAACCTTCACAGTATCATGAACCAGTCCAAATTTGTTAACACCAACCTCAATCAGCTCCTTGAAGCTCCGAGGTAACAGAACAAGCTTCCCTCCAACCTCACCTTTCTCCGGACAAGTGATAGTAACTCTAGCAGCCAAACACCTCCTCCTCCTCCTCCTCCTCCTCCATTATCTGTAAACTGCACCTTATTATTATTAACACCAAACATCAAATCCTCTATGTTCTCCCCCTTGTGAGCAGCCGACATAATCCCAAACAGGGAATTATGGAAAGTATCTGTCCTCCTCCTCGGCCGACTCCGATCACCCCATGACCTGTCAGTACCCAGAAGTGGCCCGTCTTGTGGGGCCACAGGCATGGATGGCTCACTAGTGAACCTCCCAAGGTACCTGATCTTCGTACTCTGCCTCTCAGGAATGGATACAACAGACTGAGCTTTGGGCCACCCAGTGGACGCAAAAATGGCTTTGATTTCTTCATGACCTTGTTGGTCTGCAAGCTCTCTTGGGGTCCAACCTTCCTTGTCTGGTTTGTCTATGTCGGACCCACGCTCCAGCAGGAACTTGAGAATCTCAACGTTGGCTTCACAGACTGCCACGTGGAGGGCAGTGGTCCCGGTGGTGGTTTTAGGAACTGTGACATCTCCTCCATATCGGACTATGTCCATGAGCAAGCTAAGGTTGTTCTGTTCTGCTGCAGTGCATGAGAAATGACCCACGTCTCCGAATTTCAAGGAAGCTCCATTTTCTGCCAACAACTTCACCACTGATTGGTGTCGACCCAGTATTGCTTCCCATAGTGGTACATTTCCTTCACAATCTGAAAATGTTGCCTAAACAAAATGAACGCGTGGTACGAAACAGAAGCTTGGTCTTTACATTCATTTAATAAGTGCGAATTTGGAGATCTACATCTCTAATGTAGATCCACTGATTGGTCCATGGACGGTTAAGATTTACATCTCTAATGCAAAATATATGGAATAATAATTCATCATAACTCGTAAGGGATTTTCAATTTAGAATAACACGCACGCATCAAGTCGACATTGAAATCTGGCTAATTTGGATGAAAACTGATCACCCATTGGGTGTATCCAAGAGAGAAGTTGACTTTGGTAAGTCTGATCATGTCGACGTCCATGGTTTTATTCTGTTTGTGAGGGAAAATGGGGATAAAATGGGTCTTGGTAGACGATACGACGACTATAATTAATGTTATCTCAAATCCATTATTACGTTGACCTTACTAAAATAGGAACATCATTTATAAATTATTGAAGCTCAAGTCTTAAGAAATGAGCAAAGCACTAGGCTCCAGAAGAAATATTATAATTGATACACTTGGCCACTCACTAAATTATTGAAGCTCAAGTCTTAAGAAATGAGCAAAGCACTAGGCTCCAAAAGAAATATCATAATTGATACACTTGGCCACTCAAAACACCATGTTTAGAAGCGATGTGAACGATTGACTTAATGCCAATTAATTAAAAGAAAATGATAATAAAATCCCTCTAAAATATATAAATGACAATTTGGTCTTTCAAAATGTCATAATTTTCTTAAAATCTTTACGGACTTTTCAATCATTAATGAATTTATATAAATTATTAAATTATCCTTATTGAACATAAATGATTCATAAGTTTTGTTTAAATATTCACAATTTTTTTTCTTATATTCACAACAATGCAACAGTAAATCACAACTTCACACGTAAAATTTTTTATTTACCGTAACATTGTTGCAAATATAAGAGAGAAAGTTGTAAATATTTAAACAAAACTTGTGAATAATTTATTTTAACAAAGATAATTTGATAATTTACATAACTTCATTAATGACATAAAAGTTTTTAGGGACTTTAGGGAAATTATGACATTTTGAGGGATCAAATTATAATTTATATATTTCAAAGGGATTTTATTATTATTTTCCCTTAATTAAATGAAATAATCGTTGATTTACTAGATATAGAGGGGTGTTTGTTTTTTGGTTGCCACAAAAGTGTCTATATATACCATGTATGACTAATATTAAAATAATTCAGACACTGTACATGAGCGAGGCAACGCATTACAATACGTATTATACAAACATTTCAAAGTTTAATTTTTTTATAAAAAAATTGTAAAATGAAAAGGAAAGATGTTGAGAATTGAATTTCAAAAAAATATTTCAAAAATAAAAAATATTCATGACAACGTAATCATAAAAGAATGAAATAAATTAAAATAATAATAATAAACTGAATGTCAAATTTTATATTTTTATTAATCCACTAATTTTTTTTTTTAATTTCTTCAACCATTTTATAACATTTCGAGCAAAATCATCGTTTATAAGATGCGTATCGAATATGAGAATGACTTCATATATAATGACATAGAAGTCTTCACATTCGAAAGTAAGAAATTTGAATGAAAGATGATTTACCTCTTAAGTTGGGATCAGCCCCGTAATCCAACAGAAGCATGACACAGTTCTCACTTCCCTTAGATGCTGCTATATGCTGATAATGCAGAAAGTGACACACAGATTAGAACATGACAAATCAAGAAATTTAACGCATACGAATCCAAACTTATAATACCCCGTTATATTATATATACTATATCCACACACATATATATTATATTTCTCAACAGTAGTTATCAGTAGAGTCAAAGATGCATCTGGCTTCTCTTCTAAAACCTTTTCAACAGATCCGATTCAAATCTATTATTTCGGATGTATGAAGAGAGAGAGTATGTGAGAAGTGGCTCTTTAATGATACTACAATGTTAAATACAAATTTGATCTAAGATGAGTTACAATGATCATAACTTATAAGTAATGCAACTTTTCTGAAAAACTACACTTATTGAGTGGGAGAACCTTCCACACTTACAAATTTCACTCCTCTTGTGAGGTTCTTCAATGTGAGACTCATGATAATGTTACCCTAATCGAAAGAATGAACACAAGTTTAAAGAAAAAGTTCATCCAAATAAACTAGTCTTTTGAGTGAAAAAACCCATTATACTTATAAGTTATATACCTCACTCCACTTACAAGACTCCTAATGTGAGACTCATGATACAGTGTAGGAACCAGACTGAAGTGGAAGTAGAATGTTGGTATAGTAGTTTGTACGTACGAGAGCAGTTCTTGCGTTGTTGTCGGATTCATTAGGATCCAAGCCTCGTTTCAACAACTGATGTAACATCAAGTCGTCTCCTCTGAGAGTAGCGAAGCAGAGGCTGAGTGGGAGGTCCATCCTTCCACGAGCCAGCATGTTCTCTGTCTCCACCAACACACCCTCCATGATTGGGTCCTTCATATCCTTGAGATGCTGTTACGACACCAACATCATCGTCATCCATCATTCACACGTAATTAATGTCTTTCTTTCACATTTTCAACGTTGTTGAATGATGATGGTACTATAATTCAGACCTCGAGGAGATTGTTGATGATTATGGTGCCATCCCCAACGTTGGCCTGAACGATGTTCAAGAAGATCGTACGGTTCAGCCTAAGAAGTTGGCTCAGTCGCTTGGTTCGCACCGTAAAGAGCTGTGGCCTGTAACAGAGTACCCCTATCTCGCCACAGAGATCACCAGTGTTTGCCTCTCCCACAACTTGTTCTACTCCATTTTTCATCACCAACAGCTCCTGTCAGTTATGTTGTGTTGGTTAGTTTTAAATTGTGATGCAAGATTATAAATTTTAAATTGTTGCAATAATAATAATAATAATAAGAGCAAGTTAATCTATAGACTATAAGCCTATGGAAGTAAACCTAAACTCATTTTCTATGTAATTTTTTCTTTAATTTTTGAAAAAGGGTGCAGTTTAACTCATGCCTTAACATAAACTAACTTTGACCATTAATTGCTCAGAAAATGTCCGAAAATGATCTCAAAAATTAGAAAAAATGACTACTAATTTTTTTTTTTGGTCTTTTTCTTTAATTTATGAGTTCTTGTCAGTAATTTCTTGGTCCTTTATTATAATTTTTTATCATTTTTTAGTTAATTAACAATTAAAGTCAACTTTTGTTAATGGCAAAAGCCAGATTGTGCCAATTTAAAAGTTAAAAGGAAACATTACATATGAAAATGAGTTTAAGATTCTGCAGTAGACATACTACTGCTCGCCCTGTATTTTAGGAGTCAATTTGTGACTATTACCACAGAACCGGTCACTAGAATGTAGAAATCTGTGGGAGCTTCATTTTGCAAGATGACATCTTCTTTGGGAGGAAAATACTCAGCTTTCATCTCTGACACCTTTTTGCAAAATAATAATAATAATAATAATAATCAAAGAAAATATTAGCATAAAAAGGGAGACAAAACAAGAAATTAAAGAAAAACCAGGAAGGTCTGAGACGTGACTGAGCAATTACCAGTTGGAAAAGCAAGTCATTAGAGACCCCACGAAATAAATAAACCTTGTCCAACAGAGAATAGAAGAGATAATGAGAAATGCTTGATCTTATGGCTTTAGGAAGAGAATCAAGTGTCTCTTGTTGCTGTAACCCCTCTGAATCTGTTCTGAACTTCAAACACAAATGTGCCAGCATCTGATCTTGTAGACGGACCGGTAATCGATTCCTTTGTGCAAAACTTGCTGCTGCTTGTATGGTATCCCTCTACAAAATCAACCAACAAACTTCAACTAAACTAACCAAAAGTGCATGTCGTTTCCAGATTCTGTGACATCCCAAGACTTGTTCTAAAATGAAGTGTAAAAGATGTGATAATTTACTTACAAATTTTCTGGTTCGACTCGTACAGTGGACGACCAGATTGGTCATGTTACCGATCAGATATGCCGTTAATCCCAGGTTGAAGAGCATATAGAAGATGTCAAAGATCATCTCCCTGGAATTCACTGGATGCAAATCTCCATAGCCGACAGTCGTTAAGGTTGTAATAGACCAGTATATGGTAGTCACATATCTCAACCCCAAGCTCTGTTCCTCAAAATCCCCCATTGTTGCCCCCAGCCACGTCTTTTTGGGATCATGATACCGAGCAGCAAGAAGATAATAGAAACATCCAGCACAATGAACAGCGAAAAGCGTAACCTACACAGACACTCCCAAACTTTGTTCATCTGCTACAATATATAAACACTGTAAATTCACTTTTAGAAACTTACACATATCAGCTTAGCACAGCGAACCCAGAAATAGTTATAGTTCTTGTCCTTCTCCAATCTGATCAAAAGCATGAAGGATTGGGATTAAAATCAAAACTTAATAGAAAGGTCATTGATCTGAAACAAAATCATCATATCCCATACCTAGAAAACAAAGCACTGACTCTTCGGAGACGCCAGAGGCGAAGCATGTTGAAGAATCCATATGATTTAAGTGGTGAAGGGGAAATTTTCCGAGCGAGTTCTGAAGGGATGGTGGAGATGACATCGAAGACAAACCAAGAACTTACGTATTTCCAAGCGATTCTCTTGGGGCTATCCACGAATAAGTAGGTAGCTTTGTCGATATAAGCAACGAAGAAGGTGAGAATTATGTCGATTGCGAAGAATCCGTTGACAACGTTGTCTGTAATGGCAAGTGGTGCTACAGGTTTCTCGAGGAATCCAAACTCAAATGGCGATACCCATGCTGTGTATACAACAAGAATCACCAAAAAAGTCTGCCATATCCTGTAGAAAGCAAAACTTTATTCTCTTCCAAGCAGTAACAAAAAAGCTGTTTCCAATTAAAAATTGAAACTTCTTTGCAGTGGCCAATCCAAATCGTTCTTGTCCACTCGTTGAATAACAAAAATATTCAAAATGCTTTGAACAAGAAAAGAAGAAGAAGCAAAAGCATATATAGCTACCAGCAACGTCTGACGGAAAGCAAGAAAATATGTAAAGATCCAACAAGAAGCACCCATTAAGCTGACTAGAGATAGAATGGTTAGCATTTCTGAACAGATTGCAAAAAGGAAATTGAAGATTTCAAAGAGAACAAATTTGGCCTTTGGAAAAGAAACAGCTTTGATGGGACAAGGAAATTGAAAATCACGAAAGAAACAGTTTCGACAGTCACGAGAATCCTTCCAATCCAATAAAATAATACGGGAAACAAACAGCAAGAAATCACGAGATGGAAGAGAGAGAGAGAGAGAGAGAGAGAGAGATAACAAAGTAAATGTGAATGTGAATGTGAATGCGATTGTGAGAGAGAGAGAGAGAGAGAGAGAGAGAAGAAAACCTGTAAAGTCGGTCATAAGGGGAGATAATGAAAGGACGAAGGATGACTCGACGGTTGCTTCGAGCGCCGAGAGAAGGTAATATGTTCGCAGAAAGACTGTATTGGCTTCCATCTCTGGACAACTCAAGCTCTTCTTGACCGCATACACCTACACCAAATACCCCTCTGTTTCTGCTTCCTCTCATTTGTTTTCCCTCTTCTCTCTCTTTAATCCTTCTCTTTCTCTGGGTTTGTAACTCTGTCGTTTTGTTTTCTATATGGTTTGAGTCGGCATGGATGCTGTTAACGCCCTCTCGCTCTTCCGATGTGAGTCTTCGCCTGGGCTGTTGGGGTGGGGGATTACAAGACCGAGCTTGCGTTATATAGCGGCCGTCTCAACAGAGAACAGACACGTGCATGCCATCCTCATTAATTTTCACCAAAACTTCCCAAGTCAAAGCCTTTTTTGTTTTTTTTTTTAACCCTCCTTTCGAAATTATTAGAGCAAATTACATCAGCGGCCCTAACTTCTGCTTAAATTTGTATATTTTTCAACAATTCTTTTAGAATTTCACTAGAATTTTTTTAGAATCCCGAGTTGACAGCTGCTTCCGTAATTGAATTTGTTATGCCACAACAGTCACTGGTTTACTCCATCCGTATAATCATCTAAAACAGAGGACGGGGAAAGAAATAGAATGGTGTTCGGATAAGTCCAAACTATGGTTAGGTTCCAAATTTGGGTCTTAACCATTCATTAAAAAATTTGAAATGATGTTTGATTAAAAAAGTTCAGCAGTGCATTTAGTCTGGAAGTCCATTTAAATTGAAGAAAAGTAAAATACATGTTCCATTTAAAAATATAAGATATATTTTGAGGAATTAAATTTTAAAAATAAAAGATATTTTTAATATTTTAAGGTATATTTATTAATTTTTTTTAAAAGTATTCCTAATAAAAAAATAACTTTATATTTATTTTAGAGTGAAATACTTTATTAAATATAAATAAATATAAAAAGATAAAGTTATTTTGAAGTTGAGTAATTATTCTATTAAAAGGTGAGTTTTGATTTAAAATATTTTATATTTTTAAAAGAAAGAGTAAGCATTTTGGCTCTTGGCTTTTCTTGAAAATCGCATAAGACACGATTAATCATGTACTATTTTCAATTTGTCAAAAAAGGCTTTAATAATTTATCAATTTATTTTATCTTTTTAGAATTTAATATTTTATAATTTATTAATTTATTTCAGATCTTTATAATTTACAAATAATACTTAATTATATAAAAACTAATTTTTTAATTGTAATTTAAAGTTTTATATTTATTCTTAAAAAGATAGAAACAATATTTTTCATAAAATTATGTCTTTTTGGTCATTATACATTTTAAATGATTCTTGAATTTTGTCATCCAAACAAGCTTTTGTTTGTCAAACTAAATTTTAAGAAAAAAATATATCTAAAAATAAATCACATTAAAATGACTAATTTTTTTTACAATTTAAAGTCACTAATTTTTACATTAACTTTATTTTTTTAGCATAAATTTTTGCCTAACTTTAATTAGAAAATTTCAATTAATTCTAACTTCAATTTTACAACTTCAAAAAAAAGAATTAATTCTTTTATGTTAATCATGATTATACAAAGTTAAGTTAAGAATTGGCATGTGTCAATTTTGTTAATCATGATAATACTAGGCGCTTAGTTCTATTATTAATTAGGATAAAAAAATTACTCATGATTTTGAGACATTTAATAAACCTCCACCTCATATATTGAGGTACAGATGACCAAAGGTAATAATCTTTTTATTCTCTTGTAATTATGTGGTGTTATAGGTGTATTTATTTTCCTTCAAAAAATGAACAGAATGGGCGTTAGTAAAATTAAAATAAGTGGTAGAACTAAATTGAATGGGCGTTAATAAAGTTAAAATGACTAATATGACTTTTGATTATTTTTAATTATATAATGATTTACTTTAATAAAATGGTGCTCGTTAGATGAATGAGTGGGTTTTTGAGGATTCTATTATCAAAGTTTTCATACGATATGTTTATTAAATATATAATTGATTTATGAAAAAATTGCCATAAAATCCCTTCTTATTGGCAGGGAAATTGTTTTGAGGGACCAAGACTAATTTAAAGACCAAATGCACACCTCACCTTGCATACCAAATCTATCACCTTACACCTCAAATAACATTACATCTCAAGCTTATCACCTTGTATACAAAAGCCTATTATCTTGTATACGAAGCTTATAACCTTACACCCTCAACTTATAACCTTACATCTTAAACATATGACCTTGCATCTTGAGCTAATCACCTTACACCTTAAGCTTATCACCTTGCACCCCAGGCTTATCACCTTGCACAACAAAGTTACTTGTTAGCCTTTGAAAATGCCATGTAATTTACATGCTTGCGATTTGAATGATCCATTGTCGATGTTATTATTTTCTTATAGATCACCAGTTTTAGGATAATATGTTGTATTTTCATCAAATTTGCACATTTATATTGTGTAAGGTTAGGCCTTGGCATGTAAGGTCATAGGCTTAAAGTGAAAGATGATAAGCTTGGTGTGTAAAATAATAGACATAGTGTGTATTTGATCATTAAATTAGTCTTAGTCTCTCAAAACAATTTCTCTCCCAAGGAGAGATTTAATAGCAATTTTTTCTTGATTCATCAATGATTGATTGATAATAATTTTAATTCAAAAAATAATTATAATTTAATTGGTCAATGCTTTTAACCTTAAGAAAAAATTATAAATATGTCCCAATTATGAGACTTATTTAACAAGTAAGTTTTATAAATTTGTGAAAACACTCTTAAATCGCATGGGATTTGGTTGTCATTAATTTATCATGTAAAATGATGCAAATGCCTTGAGACTTGCTCCTTTTACTGTGAGTTGACTGTTATATCTTAATTTTTGTTTTGAGACTTATAATTGATTAAGAGATGATTGGGAGTCCTTTTGGAGATAATTATAGAGTCTAAATAGGTGAGAGATATTAAATAAAATTGGATTGAACTGATTGAACACAAGGGAGTTGATATCCTGGGCAAGAAAAGATACCTTAGGCTAGATATCCTATTTGGGATTGGATATAAAACAAGGCCTTTGCCTTGGAAAGGCCCATTTAGGGCTATCTGGCACTAGACATCAGCCTTGTTGATCGAGGTCAAGAAGGTGGTATATAATAAGTATTGGATATCCTATCAAAGGCCAGACAACAATTTAAAAGAGATTATACATATTGTTACTATAGAATTGTGACGAGGATAAAGAGGAGCCATGGGAGAGTTTGATAAGGAGCTATAATCTATGATTTTTGTAGAATTAGAGGTATATTTGAGGTTCTTACTAATCTAGTAAGTCCTATAGCTTCCATTTCTCCCTTCTATGCATTGAGTTTAGGATCTAGATCGAGAAAACTGGGAATTCATTATTTAGAATAGTTTTTACTAATTATCTTCATTTAACTTTATGGTTGAGTTGTTTGAAGGTTTCTAATGGCCAAATTTATGGAGTGTCATGCTCCTTGAGCAAACTAGGAGTGTCATAGGAGTTTCATTCTCGATGTGTGAAAAATTAATGATAGTGGGTTCCCAAGGTCCATTACCATAATTTCCTTGGATTGCCTAAACTATCAAAAATCTCAGTATACGATGATGATCGCAAGGAAGTGACCATTCATTGATCAAAGCTAGATTATAAAATTGAAGAAATGTAGGGTGAACGTAGTGAGAAGCAAAGTAATAGATTTAGATGGCTTAGATCATAAAAACATTTAAAAATAATTGTGGTACTAATGCCCATTAATTCAATTGAAGAAAGTACCAAAGGATGATATGATCAACCTTGACTTTTTAAGACTCCAATGATTAATTAAAATGACTATTGTATAAATGAAATCCTAAAAATATAGTAAATTTGAAATCAATTAAATAAGGCCCTTCAAACACTTAGAATCAAAGCATAAAGATTTTAGGAAGCATGGAAATAATTTAACCATGAAAATAATTTAAAATGGGGTCAACAGAGACAGTTTCACAAAAACTACACCATGCTATTTTCCATGGCTAACAGAGCCTTTCATGATAGCTCACATGCCTTGACAACAACTGTTATAACAACACTCGAAATCCAACTTTTAGTGCTTTGCATTTTTTACTTAAACCTCCAAATGAGGTAATCTTAGCACCCACATAAAGATAATTGAATAATTTAACTAATGGTATAAGTTTCCTAATAATTAAGCAACATATAGAGATTTTGGATACTTGGGGCTAAAATCACAACACCAATGCTAAGACCATCAACCAAATGTCCATCCCCCTCATACTAGCTATTAGCATAATGCATAAATGAGCATGTGTGTAATATAGCATGCGCCAAAATATATTATATGCATTCAAAACTCATCTCCTTTTTCCATAAATATCAAATATAGAATTGATCACACACTTGCACAAATGATGCTTCATCAAAGGCATACTAAGGTCAATACCAAAATGCCTAAGTCAAATAAATAGGCTACATGCAAGTGATAAATAGTTGAATACAAAAAGACCCCTAGAGTTAGCAATATAGCATTCAAAATTACATGGTATATGGTTAGAGACTTTACAAAGTAAAGGAGGCATCTCTTTTTTTAGATGTTCCCCTTTGCCCTCACCATCACCTAGAAAGATGTTAAACTAAAGGAGTGAGATTATAAAATCTCAATAACTAAGAACATAAATTCAAGAACATAAATGAGTGGCAATGTAAAGCATGAAAAGAAAGTATTCATAGTAAATGTTCTATTGATATGTAATCATATATCTAACAAGTCATGCATCCATCCTTATTCCTCTCCTTCCATCTTTTGATTGAATCCATGGGTTACAAATTCATATTGGACTAAGTTGTATGACCAAATTAGCCCTCTTTCCAATTGTGAGAGGTTACCTAGCCAAAAATTTCCATACTTACTCTTGAATAATGGATTGCCCCTGTAAAGTCATCCATATTGTCTAAACTTTACCAATTCATACACATCCTACCACACAATAACAATACAATATCAGAGTTATAGCCCTTAATTTATTTTTAAAATGTGGGATCCCAACTTCATAGAAAATATGTTAAATAAAAAGGGCTAACAAAAATGCAACGACATCACCATTCAACAAGAAAATCAAACAGCCATTTCTCTCAAAAATAGGCTATAGGTCGTAGCTCACACCACATGCATTGCGATATGTGGCATAGAGCAACGTGCCCTGGTTCTGTGTCATACACCATGACTTACACACCATGCGCCACGGCGC